GAAGTCATTTAACTCACCAGTACGTCTTTGGACTGTGGGAGGAAACCAGAATACCCAGAGGAAACCCACGCAAAACATGGGCAGAACATACAAACTTCACGTAATGTAGATAACACCCCAGATCCTAGGGCCACAGTGCATGCGCGGCTAAAATTCTAGCCACTGCACCACTGTGCCATAATCACCTTGCCTGCGAGCAACACACTAGAATGATGGGAGTTCTATTACTCAGAAATTGGTACAAGGCTGAATTTGCTGAAATTCACAAAAAACTCATCAGTTTACAAATAAGGCCTAAACAGAAAAAAACAAAATCAATTAGCTAATGACTAGGAACTCAGCTGGAGCAAAAACCAGAAGAAACAGTGTTCCTCCAGGGCCAGGAAATCACAGGTGTAGAGCACCTTGCAAAATAATTTACCCCCCTCCAATGATGTTCCACTATGTTTAATTACAGATGATATTTACACATTTAAAAAAGTGAATTGTTTTATTAAAAGATGAATGCTCAAAGTGAACATGTTTATGGTGAACGAAGTTAAATATCCGTGCATCCCACACAGAAGAATAAAAACCTGAAATGTATTATTTGCACTCAACCCTTTTGGGTCCTTTAATTCAACCTAAATTAGTTCAAGTGCTCAAAATTTCCTTTAAAAAAGTCACACAACTTGTTGGAAGGCATCTGTCTCTGTGCAATAATTGTGGTTCATGTGATTTCAGAATAAATACTCTGTAAGGGTCCTCAGTCATGTACTGCATTTAAGTCATTTAAGTCAAAGAATCAAACATGAAGATCAAGGTGAATTTCAAAATAACTCTGGGATAAAGTTGTAGACAGATCAGGAGAAGAGTATAAAAAATCTCAAAGACACTGAATATCTGTTTAAGCATGGTGAAGTTGATCATGAAGAAATAGGAGGCATATTGCACTACTCAGACCCTACCTAGCTCAGATTGTCCCTCCAATATGAGCAGACAAGAAAGGGGAAAACTGGTCATTCATGGTTAGGGATGCCATTGTGAAGCCAACAGTGACTTTGAAAGAGTACAATGGCTCAAGTCAAAAATATCTTTCTGTTGGGCACTATAAGAGGCTGTGCACAGTAGATAAATCTGATTTATATTACAGAGAACTGTATATTAAGTCAAAGAAATCAGGCAAACTCTAGCAAGATGTCTGTAAAGCCAAATCCATAAAATGTTGAAAATCCCAGTGTCAAACATGCTACCATTTGCCAAGCTACCCAGTATTTTAAATTTGCTATCACAGATGGGTTTTGGGAAGCTAAAGTCAGGGAGTCTTCAAGGAACACAATGATTCTAAGACTGCCAATGAGTATCATTTATAGATCTGGGATATTCATATTAATAATTCCTTACACTTATATAGCACTTCTCTCGATAATGCACTCAAAGCGCTTCACAAGTAATGGGGACTCCCCTCCACCACCACCAATGTGCAGCCCCACCTGGATGATGTGACAGCAATCACCACACACCGGCTATCAGTGGGGAGGAGAACAGAGTGATGAAGCCAGTTCATAGATGGAGATTATTAGGAGGCCATGATTAGTAAAGCCCAATGGGAAATTTGGCCGGAACACCATGGTAATACCCCTACTCTTTTCAAGAAACACCCTGGGATTTTGTAATGAATTCAATGGACTTTCCAACAGGATAACATTTCTAAGCAACCATTATTCTATGAGTATTTGGTAAACAGATAAAAAAATAAATGTTTTAAGTGATCACCACATTCCACAGGAGAACAGTTATGGGATGAGCTGAAAAAACAGGTCACAAATACAAACTGCTTTGACCAGGACAATCTGAAGAGAATCTTCAAGTTGGAGTGGGCAATAACTATAAGTACGTGCCTTCTACGGGTTATCAAAGCAAATGAATATTATGTTTTTAGAAATATGTCAGTATTTTAAAAGCTTTCATGAATATACTTTTGCTATACACTGCCTTGAAAAATAATTCAGCTCCTTCCAATTACACCCCATTTTTTGACTTACAAATGATATACTGTATATATATACATTTTTTAAGGTGAATATTAATCAAGACTCGAATGATCAACCTGAACACTTGGGCTACAATATTATAGCAAAAGCTCCTGAGAAATTAAAAACTACAATATTTTGATTGCATAAATCAGCACCTAATGGAAAAACAGTATCTTAAACATATGGCTTAAATTAAAACAGGATTCTTTAGTCCTCACCATATTTTTAGGAGATTAATATACTTGCAAATTTTAAAATAAATATCAACAAATGATACTGATGAATATGACACTCATTCATGTTATTAGATAGTAATACATTTAATTTGTAAGTGTATAAATATTTATGTACACTTGCATTTTCTTGGCTAAATCAATTTTAAGTTATACTTTATTATGAATATGAGTCTATTTTTAAAGGCAACTGTATTTTTGTCTAGGTTAGCCCAAGAATTACAGTGAATTTGTGCATTATTGACCAAAGTGCTTTACCAGGTGTTATTCCTTACACCCACTCACTCCTGCCTCTTCATGAGCTAATGAAACGATGTTCCTTGGTCCCTGACCCATTCTTGCTCCTCTGCTTGACCTTATGTTCATGAAACATTTCACCCTAAGCAAATTAAAAACATGGCCATTTAAATTTGTCCCTGGAAAGTGTGACAGGATTTTAATTTTACCCACAAAAGGTACAACTGGTTTATCAATTTGTTCATAAAATGAGGTTCAGCCTTTTTCATTTTGTGCAGAAATGCATTATTATTTTCTTAACTATATACCATGTATATTACATGGACATTTACAGTATTTTTTGTTTTTTTTAAGGCAAAGTCTCTTTTCAATTTTGTAAGCAGAAGGATTTGTTCATAAAATGCATGTTTCTTGGGCTAAATGCTATTTTTAGTCACTTGTGTAAGATATATTTTTTTAATTAATAAAACAGTGAAGAAATTATGTAACTATACATAGGTCATTGTAACTGATAGCTTTTGAATATTATTTTCACTCAACTCCTTGTGAATTTCAAAAAGTTTCCCCAACCCTGGTTACATAGTTATTACCAACAATAACTTTAAAATGATATTGAATATCCATCTATCTATTATCATACAGACACCTATTGTGGTCAGGTGGTGGTAAGCAAGACTGTTCTGAACTGTTTCACGGGGTGAAAAATGCAATTGAGAGGACTTGACTGCTATCCACTGGACACTGTCCATCAGAGCACAAAGGAGGAAGAGATTATTTAGATATTAATACGTTTAATTAAGAAAGTCTATATTTATGTACACTTGCATTTTCTTGACTAAATCAACTTTAAGTCAGACTTTATTGTGGATATGCGTCACTTTTTAAAGGCAACTGTATGCCTTTATGGGCTAGGCAGTCAAATCTAGGTGGCACAGTTTTGGGAGGTGAAAAATAACTGTATCACTGTTTGAAGACCCGAAGGAATATGGGGAGACTCCAAGCAGCCTAGAACTCAAGAACTGTGAGGCAGCAGTACTCACTGCCTTGCCACGGCACTGACAAATATTAAGCATATAAAAATCAGTGCAGTGTAACAAATACTGTAATTCCAAACATGAAACACATAAGACAAACTTTCTCTTCTCATTTATACACATACATTTTTGTTGTCAGAGTAAGTTCCCTTCAGACACATGAAAGAATTATGCTGCACTTTGCATGGCTTTTTGTGTTTTTGCTATTTGGGTTGGCACCAGATTCAAATTACATAGTTCATTATATATTCATACTATACTGTGTGTTATATAAGCCACAATTGACTAGTGTCCTGTCCAGGGTGTACCTGCCTTGTGCCTGTTGCGTGCTGGGATAAGCTCCAGCTTCACTCTGACCCTGAAATGGAAGAAGTGGTTAGAAAATGGATGGGTGTTATATAAAGAACCACATAGCATACATATTTAAGCATCTCTATTACAACTGTTTCCCCTAGTAAATGCTAAAAGTTTTTTTATATATATTTAGACTTATGGAAAATAAAATGAATTATGATACTGAAGAGCACAGCATTTTTACTCTCCTTCCTGTAACATGAAATAGTTGTGGTGGATGGACATAAAGCTTATAGAGACTTTTCCTTGCCCTTTGAAGGAATAATGTAAAAGTAAAAAATAATGTAAAAATCTAATTTTATTATTTTCTGTTGACCAGTGTTGCTTTAGGTCCAGTAAACAAACTACGATGAAATGCTGTCATTGTTTGAGAAAAAATATTAGATTTTAGAATTAGAATTGATAGTATTGTAGTACAGTGCATCTGTTTAAGAAACTCCAAAAAGTCCTCCAATTGCATTAAGTGTATAATGCCGTTTTGAGACCAGTAGCACTAAATAATACCACTGCTATCGTAAAAAAGATCCACTCGCAACCTTCATCAGTTGAGTATTTGGAAAATAAACAGCTGTGGGGTTTCTCCCAAATTTAGCGACTTTCAGGATGCGATTTGGAGACTGCGACTCCGATTTGGTGTGTGCGACAGTTGCAATGTCTATTGTTCACTCAAAATTGATTAAAGTGTAAATCAATCATTATTATTGCGATACCACTGCTATACATTCATATACATTACGTTAATGCAAATAAAAGAATTGTGCAGACAACGGATCAGCAGTATTCCGAAACAATAATCGATGCTGTCTTTAAAAAAATAAAAATAAATAGCTCCGAATAGGAAGCAACTCTTTATGCGAGACCGGGTAAGGGAGAAGGGAGAAAGAGAAAGAAAGAAAGAGCGAGAGAGGGAGGAGCGCGGAGAAGAGAGAAGCGTCAAAACAGCAAGCTGGAACATCTCATCCATCAGGGCGCTTCCCGGAGAGCCGAGTGTCTGCGCTCGTGACTAAATAAGGGAGTTGTGCAAGCTGCCTCTCATTCTGGGCCATTGAGCAGTGCAGAGTCCCCTTTTCATTCACAGAGACTGGACCGCGTTAGAGGGGAAGCCCGTTTCACAGCTGCTTGATTTAGAAGAGTAAGGACCGAGGATTTTTTTAGAGGATCTTAATAGTGCAGGGAGAAAGACAAAGGTGATTGTGTTGGTAAATCGCAAACAATACGTGAAATGAGGAGAAGGCAAGCGGAATGCAGCGGGGTTAGAATGATAGAGCATTTCAGCCGCGACCCCTCCGAGCAGTGACTTTGAAAGCACCTTTTCAGTCTTGGACACATCTATCAGAGTGTCTGCTATAAGACGCGCTCAGCACTAATCTAGCCTTCTTCATAAATGGAAGAACATGTTAAGTGAAACACCCCTCAATGCACAGGAATGCGAATACTGTAATACATAAATAAAACGCCATTGTATTAACGAAACGTCATCTGTGCAATTTTGGTAAATAGCCTGCGTTAGAAAGCGGCATACAGTATATCCAAGCTTTACAAGAATGGATATCGGTAAACCCTGTGTTGTTTTCATCTTTCTTTTATCAATTATGCATGAGACTTAGACATGACACTACATAGAACAGCACGTGGTATTCAAAAGGGAGAGCACCTGCAAAGTGTGAGCGGGGCTGCATCACCTGAGAGCGCAAGGTGCACCTGTGCGGGACAAGCAGCCTGCTTTGGTACGCGGAAAGGAAGGCGTTAAAGAGGTGAAGCTGCTGCAACCAAGCCGAGATCATCTGGGTAGAGCAGCATGCCGAGTTCCAAGCGCTGCACACCCTGGCTATTAATCCTGTAAGGAGCCAATTCGGAGAGCGGCTGCTCTCGCCGGGGAGTGGGTGTTGAGAGGAGAGAGCAGCTGAGAAGCAGGCGCCGGGACAAAGGGAAGGGACAACAATGAGATGTAGATTGCACCCCGACAGGCCGCCGCACCACTCCTCTGCCAAACCCGTTCTCTCATTCTGGAAAACTATAGATTCTTCTGTCTTCAAACATCACCAAACAGCCGCGTACTGACCATAAACAGGAGCTCCTAAACAATTTCACATCTCTCACTGAAGAAGTAAACAAGAAGCGCAGTTCTCCCTCTTCCTGGAAATAGCTTCATTCTCCGTCTGCCCCTCAGAGAGAGTTGCATCGAGCTCAAGGGCTCAGTCCGCTGTTCGATTGAATTGCGTGGAACTTTGTTTCTTTGTAAAGTGAGTCGCTGTGCGGCTGCAGCTACCCCCATGTGAAGAGGTGGCTGGGACATCGTGAGGCGGCACCTTGGCACCGTCCAGCTGGTGTAGGGGGACACCCTCTAACTCTGGGCAGCACTGCCAGGATGCCGGTCCGAAGGGGGCACGTGGCGCCGCAGAACACCTTTCTGGACACCATCATCCGAAAATTTGAGGGACAGAGTGAGATGATTATTATTATTATTATTATTATTATTATTATTATTATTATTATTATTATTATTATTATTGTTTCCACCTCAACCATAGTTTCTGATAATATTTAGGAAAAGTTTACTTATTCAAATAGACCTTATATAAAATGTGCACCAGAAGAAAAACAAATCAACATGGCTATATTATTTGCTAAAGTAACTGTATAATATTATTACTTGTACTGGCTACTATTTCTAGTTATAAGGGCAAGTTATATAGTAGTAACTATATATTAGCCTTCAGACTTTGGTGCTACCTGGGGAGCAAGGAGGGGAGCTGGGACTGTAGACACTCAGTTGGAACAGGCAAGAGATTGGGGTGAGATTAGGGGTTTGCCAGACTGAAATACACCTGCTTCAACAACAGATAGCACAGATAGGTATTACAAAGGTCAGAGGGGAACTTTAAAGTCTACAAATGGTAATGCATGTGTAATCGGGAGGTTAGATTTCTTCAGCGGAATGAAACATTCAGAGCTTGATAACAGTTGTAGTAACAGATCTTGAACAAGCTGGACTAAGCACATTTACTGTATTTCACAAAGACAGGATTACAGAACCTGATTTTTTTTTGGTTCCCTAGAAATTGTCAGCTCCAGATGTAGCCTGCTAAATTGTACCCCTTAAACACTGTGGCAACATTTATCAGTACATTACTGCATATCTTAAAATAATATCAACAACTTATACTAACACTTGTGACCATATTGAAAGCAGAAGTGTTACTTTAAAAAACTCTCTTCTTGTTTTGTTTAATAATTTATAATTTCTAGTGTATGAATGCAGTAGAATCAGAGCTGGCTTGGTATTTTGATAATGGCAGAAATGTCTTTGAATCTATTCTGAAAACATACTGGTCATTTTGAAACAGGTTTTCAGCACCAGGTCCTAAATAACCTTGATGAGCTCAGTGGTCCAGACTTGCTACTGTGTCTGCAGATGCCCTCACTGCCGTATGTTTAATGCTGGAATCAGTGTACAGAAGAACTGCCAACACAAAAAGTCCTTTAGGATTTGAGCAAATATCCTTCTGGACTATTACAATAAATTCCCTGAAAAGCTCATACAGGAGCATACAGGAGCAACTTCACAGAAAAAACAAAGAAATCCTTTGCTCTGGAGTCCATAAAGATTCAGTCTCCCGAATCTTGCAGGATACCTGCATGTTACACAGGATTTTGCCAAAAGTCAGGCAGGTGGGAGAGTGAGTTTTAGACTGTTCACTCACACTGACACAAGTACAGTATTTTCATTCAATTGAAACCTTTTTACAAAGACATGAACAAAGGTTATTATAATTGATCACTGTTATATTCAACTCAAATATCTCATTTTAGTTCTTTAGTGCTAGTTTACCATTATTTTTTTAAAAATGTATTTATTGTATTGTTATTATCTTATGCTGTTATATAAAAATGTAAATATATATGTTTTGGAAGTTTCAAATACATTATTCATTTAACATTTGACTGTTTAGGACACTTACTAAAAAACAAAATGCAAAAATATAATATAAATCATTACATATATATATATTGTATTGTTATGCTGGTGCCAACTTTAATTTAAAATATTTTAATCATAATGTCCAGTGTTAGACAATATTAGTTTCAGTGCAAAGACTGAACTTAGTTTGATTGTAGAGGATTCAAAGAGGATACTAGTAAAAAAAATGATTTTTAAAAAAATATTAAATATATTTTTAATATTTAACTATTTATTGATCTTTAAAGAAAAAAATGGTTGAGAACTTTCTGTTATGATAGGCAGTCCATTTGGCTGTATTTTTCTGATTTTGCATTAATGAATGATGTTTGGGTGGTACATCCTAACAGACAGTATCTGTGTGAGCAGGTTTGAATCCCATACTAGATTTTGGTGGGAATAGCTTTATATCGCAAAGGAACAAGTACAGGTTTATTCCATGCTGAATAGAGAAGAAAAGAAACACAACTTTTCGACTGTGGAGCCTTCAGGCTGCTCCAAAGAAATGTTGTGTTTCTTGTCTTCTCTTTTCAGCATAGAATAAACCTATACGTGTTCCTTTGCAGCCTACATACTGTATGCTAACACAGCTATGTCTGTACTTGAATAGCTTTATACCTGTTATTTAATTAAGAAATTCCATTTCATTATAGCACTCAAGACCTGAAGCATAGTTACAACACCAGTGGTGGGTAAGGTTCATTTGTTAAACAGTGTTAAAGATTTTGGTAACTATATACAGTATACCATCTGCCATATTTGCCATTATGAGTTTGAGCTGCTGCAGTTATTGACAGTATCCTGGTTCTTTTTTTTTTCAAGCAAAACTAACAACTACAGAATAACTGCTCAGGTAGATACATCAACAAACACAAGATAATCCAGTTACACTAAGTTAGTTATTACAAGTGCTATTTTTCTACTCTTGTGAAAAATACCCATGTTTTTCACAAAAAAGACAATAAAGGTGGATAATATTGAAATCAGCCAAATGACAGTTTACTTGTTTTTCAGTCAAATTGAGTCAATCTTGTCAGGAACCTTAAATTTCAGCTGATAATGTTTAGTGTTAAACTAAACACTAGGTTGGAAAATACAGTAATGTGTAAGATGGGCCAGGCCCAGTTCACACCTGGCATCTGGTTTTGTAGCTTCTTTTAAGGAATAGTGTCTCAGAGAACTTTACATGTTACTTCATTAACAAAATACAAGCGAACACAACATTTAATATAGCAAACAAAAACTGATGTGTGTTAACCCTCCCTGTCTGGGATCAGAGCGGAGGTCACAGAATCTGCAGCATAATTTGCATTCTAGGACAAACCCATAAGAATAGAGCTCTGGAATGGGCGGAAGCTGAGGCTGAGGTTTGTATGAAATTCAAACTTAATGGTTTCCTTTATGGCAGAATCCAACACATCAACGCAACAAAACGGCCATCACCAGAAAATTATATTTTCTTTTGAGAACATAACCTATAAGAAACTACGATGAAAATATTATAAAAGGTGGTTACTTTGCATAATTTTAGTGAAACTACATAAATGATCAATTATTTCTGATAAATATATTGATAGGCCACAGAACACATTTAATTGGTAATCTCTGCTGGACACTTTTCCTCAGTGTAAACTTTAGTCCTGTAAGTAGTCAGGCGTATTTTGAGACATTATTATAGTCATCTTTATTTTTATAAAATACATGCATTGCTTGTATGTGCCAAAAACAGCAAATGCGAAGATGCAAGAAAAGGTTGTGGTCTCCGTTAATCTCCAGAAAAAAACAACTTTTCTTTTGAAACAATCAGTCATATGGAAGGGGCCTTGAACTTTTATTTAAAAAACCGCATTGGATTGTGTAGAAACCTTTTTACAAAGATGAAAAATAGGACAGATAAGAGCAAAGATCACTTTTAAAATTCACTTTGAAGGGAAATCACAGCTCTCCGAAAACAAAGAAAATCAATATAACGGCTGAGACCGTCTGTGAACAGAAATGTACTCCAAAAGCAGCCATGTATAAAAGAAGCATTTCATTATTTCTAAAATACATTCATAATCATTATATAAAGATATCATTTGAAATTTTCAACTCCACAAAGATAAAAAAAGTGTCCATTATGATAGTTAAGATTCACATCATGTGTATATTTGCAGTATAACAAATACATTTTCAAATGTACGAAATGTAAACGTGTATCTTATCACAGCTAATATCTACTTTGCACTTGAGAGATGTGATTCAGCTGAACTGGCAGTTCCACACTACCGCAAAGCTCCCTCTATAGTGGGATGATGCTATCATAAAGTGTAATTTAAATGATGTGATAAATATTAGAAGAGGTAAATATTAAAAAGTCCCACATGCTGACATTTAGAACATAACTCCTTCGTGGGGCTCTGCGAAGACATTGCTCTGTGATCTGACATCAATGAGTGACTAAGGGATCAGGCCTGGATCAACAAGGGTGTGGGTTGTGTCATTTTAGATTGTGACTGATGGGGAAGGCCATGCTGTATTTCGGCATTGCGATTCTTAATCCTACTTAAGACCAGGAGAATGAAGATGGCTGTTCTTTGATTCCCCTCACCTGGTTGTTGTTGGCCTCCAGGGGATAATTTGGTTAACAAATGAGGAGAATCTGTACATGTTCAAATGCCCTTTATTTGCTGTGTGTGCCTTCTGTGTGTCAGCTCATTGAAGTAAATATGCTGAAGTTCAGACGTGTACCAATAAAGACACACATTCATAGATCTGTGTGGCGTAAATATAAGCATTCTGCCAAAGTGGGATCTGTCTCAGAGTCTGTGTTGCTTCACACTTGTTTCTCCTAAGTGTCATCCTTGCTCCTGGGCTTGTTTGCTGCTGTGGTGTGTGTTGCAGCAGGTGCTGTTTTGCCCAGACTGAGTGTGTCTGTGTATCTTTGCTGAGTTGGTGGAACTGCAGGGACTGGGTGCTGTGCTTGACCGGGCTCAGTGTAGGACAGCCGACAGGCCCATCACAGCAGTGTGGGGGTTGCTGTGATTCAATTGCTGTGTTTGGTTTGTAGCTGCAGCCAGTTTTTACAGGATTTTTTGTATCATTTATAGTTGACTTTTTACAGCTATTCAAGATTTTGAAATATAAGAAAAAATCTTAATGTCACCAATGTTTTGAGGGTAGAGATCTATATTTCACGGCAATAGAATGAGTGTCTTTTTGTGTTCTCTGGCATTCTCTCAAAGAAGGGGGCAGTGTACTCTTATTGTGCCTTGACAGCAAATATAAGTGGGGCCATTTTAGTTAGATGTACTGGATCTCCTCTCTGTACTGTGTAATGTTTAGTGATGTGGTCTACATAATGTTTTCTGCCACTTGTTAGTCTGGGGCTAGCTGTCATACAGGTGTGCTCTTTTAATATGTACAATTATTACCAATATTCAATAAATTACATAAAAACATAATATTATTGAAGCAGTGTGTAATTGGGCTGCATTATAGCAT